ATCTGATTAATGATAAGACATTTCAGCGAAATAGATAACAGAAAACAAAGGGAAACTAACAAAGATGAAATCATTAGGAAATACGGGGAATGTCCCTCTAAGTGATCTCCCAGGAAATTTCGTCACAAAGCAATTATCTTCGGTCCTGTGATAAAATGTACTGAATAGTATTAACTATTGTCTTCAAATAGACTACAGGGAACGGATGACGTTAAAAAACGGTGCCTTCTTGTCTTCAAGATGATAAAAGGAAAATACATGTTACTGCATTGGGCCTTGCGTGAAACACCCCAATATGTTAAGCGTCTCGGACTTAGGAAGCCCAATCGAACTCGGATAGGATGGAGGCGTCCGGTCAGTTACGAGTTTGAAAATTGTTGGAGTATGTCTTTCTTGGTGATACAACTTGAATTTCCTACTTATTTGTTTTGTAAACTTAATCAAAAGTCTCACTTTAAATTAAAGCGAAAACACGATTTTATTGCAATTATTCGGTTAGCGTTCTTGTTCTGGTGAAGTGGTTTATAGATATGTATGTGTGTATAATTACGTTTCTGTAGTTATGTAATGACTTTTGTGACGACTTCAAAGAGTATCGAGAATAATTCAAGTCTTAATTGATCTCTTCTTCCACTTCTTTACTTTATACAACAATACCACAAAACCATGAAATGGGAAACTAATGAATCAGAAGGGAAATCAAAGTTCACACCCCAACCAGAAATGTATTTGGCTGAATGGTAGACACATTTTGCTGTAAACAATATATCAGTATCTAAGAAAAGACCTCCCAGTAGATACGCCACATGCATGATTATACTAATTGATTACAAAGTGTCTGCTCATGTCAGTTCAATTTTCAGTCATCATTTACCATTATGATGACTGTTGAATATTTCATGATATTGAAAAATCAATCAAACCTTATCAACAATTTCGAATTCATATTAAGTGATAAGGTAACCTGGCTGTATGGCATTGCAGATGCACGTAGTTCCCAGTGGAAGTAAGTGCCCATATCGGCGAGATTAGATTAAAACCAAATAGCTGCACTCTGGGGTTTTTGGTATTGAAATATGCCGAAGAATTGTCTGCAGTTAGAATGTCTCCTAGTACTTAAATAACAAGGTGTTTGACGTGCTGGACCTGATGGAGATTTCCCATAGCTCCTCGTGTATCACAAACATTGTGCTGACGAGTACATTTGAGATAAGTTTTACAGCGAACGTTCAATATATATATTAAGTCTGATTTTCACTAATTCTGCTTCCTATTATGTCAAACCCTAAAGTTCCGCGAGGAATTAAACCAGAATTACTCGTGGAAACTCCACACTGATTAATGTCGGGCATATGTCTATCAACTGTCGAATGTAACCATCGGTGACACTCGTATCTTCATTTACATTACCAATCTCAATTAGGCTGGTGATGGAGTTGATACGCTCTTCATCCTCATGTTTGATTTGATTGGTTCATAAGACCAATTACCTACACTGTGTTGTGTTAATGTTGATTACGATGACAATATGAGGCCGTAACTTTACACTTACTACTGATTCAGGAATAACAACTACAAATCCGACCTTGCTCCAATAATCACTTGATATAAGATAATTGGTGTCTTTACTACGGCTACCGCAATCCACGTTGGCGTTATCCGGACTTATTTCTTCAAACTCAACAACCAAAACTTGTTCGGTTTTAATGTAATTTTACCTATCCTCATCAAAATTGATACCGTAATAAACTTTACTAACTAAGGAAGGGTCAGTGACCTTACCATCGTTTTTTTCTTTCCCAAATAACACCTTTCGTGTTTTGGCCAAAATTAGTTGAATTGATTGTCGGTTAAATAACCTAAGCGCTGACTGTTTCATCGATAAAGACTGCTGCTTTGGCCCCAGAATCCTTTATTTAATTTTGCGCTCATATACTCTTCCGGTAATTCGGGGTCTGACCTTGGCACTGTGATTATCCTGTTAGTGCGTTGGATAAATTTGCGACTTCTTTGTTCGGACTGGAGATGGCTGTCAAGGAAGGATGGAATTAAGATTGAGTATTAGGTTTTCTACACAATATACCACCTGCATTACACTACAACATAATATCATGGTCCGTCTTATTTCGTGCCGGGCATTGAAATCACTTACTATATATGACGGTTAAATTGGAATAACAAAAACGTCAACTTCAATAGAAAATCTATACCGGTAGGAGTTGATTTAATTTCATCAGGAATTACAAGTTCATCGTAATCTTTTAATTTGAATTACGATTTACACCTAAAGTTAAATCTGAAATAAAACTGCAAAGCCACAACTTACAAAATTAAACTAGAAAAAAATGTTTCCATGGCAATCGATGTCAGGACAAATTTCATTGCATAATTTCTTTCAATATATTTGATTTGCCAAATGCAAAAATACATTCATGAAAGAAATTGATTTAAGAAATTGGATTGAGGCAAATATCAGTGATCAATTTATTTCACGTGTAACATTGTTATACATCATGAACATTCGATAGCAATAAGTCTTCTGTCTTATAAACACATTTCCTTTCACGAAGACATAAAAGAAATAAAAAAAAATACCCTGCTGTCTTCTGTGTATGATCGTAAGGTTCGGTGAAAGGGATCTAACCTTTTTTTTTTCTGAACAACTTTTTTTTTAATGTTTCTGTTGACAACTGCTTTATTCTTTATCTTATTTGAATGTCCGCCTCTTTGAGGAAGGGTTGTCTTCTAACAGTCTCTAAGTGGTAGTCACTATTCCCTGATTGACTTTCAGCATTGTGATAAGAGTTATTCTTCAGCGGTATAAGTTAACTGGATGAGGTGTCTTGCTTGGTACCTTCGGCAGTACACTTCAGTGTGGTAGCACTACAATGTTCAGCACTATTACAAATGTTGACACGAATATACCGTACCCTCTTAGAAACACAAGAAACACGTGCGTTCACCTTGTATACATAAGGATGCCTTCCTGATATGACCGGAGCATTAGATAGGACATTAAACAATATAAATCCACAACTAAGTAAAAATATACCCTTTTTAGCTATTTGTATTCTGTCCTATCTTACAGACTTCTTATTGTTAATCCTGTCGTAATTACCGATTCATCGGTAGCACCTTGGATGAATATTTTTATGAACGGAGAAATGAGTTTAATACAATTGAGATTACTTTTCCGTGTTATTTTATCTTATCTACATTAATCTGTGTGATGTAGGTTCTCGGTAGATGAAACACATACATATCTAAAACATGTTTTAACTTAATCAATAGATTACAACATGAAACGAAATTCCAGTTAGATGCAACCAGAAAAATCTGGATGACCTATAAATTTTACGGTATCTTTTCAGAATCCATGATGGCCATAGCATTTCTATCTATAAATTTGATCAAATTTGAATAAATAATGAACTTACTAGAACATTCCAGAAGGCAATATATTTTCTAGCATATAAAAATAAAAGGAAATGTATATCATCTTGTCATAATTTATTGAAACAAAAGATGGAAGAGGCGAGGGAAGAATTATATTTCATTAGTTTTAAGAACGATGTTATCGACATTTGATCTCTGGAACTAAAATGTGTGTAGATGTTCTATGTGATGGATGTTATTAACAGTAGAACAGTACGTCTGACTCGTGTAAGTCGACATTGGTATGAAGTTACGAGGGGAATGAGATGGGGACGACATATTTACTTGTATCTTTGTATCTCAAAGGTGGTTGTAGTGTACTTAGAAATACAGAAACATTGTTTCTTCCTTCCTTGCATTTCGCGGATAAATTCTTGGAGAAAACATACAAATATATGCTTGACATATTGTCACTGGTCTTACTGTCGATACTTACACTTACATGGGGGAACATTTACCACACCCCAAATTACATTCCATTTATTAATAAAATATACAGGTCCTTATCATCTACACACGTAACTGATCCTCCTCGATAACTCACAGTGCCAGTTACAAAAAAAGCTGTAAGCTATAACCTGTCTAATAGCGGGTTGGAATCGTCTGACCTATCCATCAAACCTATCCATCTTCCCTTCTGGTATTGAATTATAGAGCCAACTTCCTATCGATATAAGACAACCACCGACACTGGCCGCATTTATAGCCACACCAAATACATTGACTTTCCCTAAGTGCTCAATTTGGGATATTTTTTTAGTAATAGAAACATAATTACAACATTTCACACAGGAGAACAAGAAATCTGTCTACAAGTTGTTGATGGACTTTGTTAGCACGGTTCCCCCTTTGATATCTACATATCACATCATGTGATATAGAAAATACTCTCTTTAACGCAAACAAAGAAACAGAACATATATTTGCTCGTGCTGATTCATGATTACTAATGTTTAAAATTGAGAAATCGTTCATTCAATCTTCAAACCCTTTCTCAGCTTCCCCCCCTCTTTCTCTCTCTCTCTCTCTCTCTCTCTCTCTCTCTCTCTCTCTCTCTCTCTCTCTCTCTCTCTCTCTCTCTCTCTCTCTCTCTCTCTCCTTCACTTTTTTATTCTCTTACCTCTTCTCTAGCCTCTTTCGTTTCAATTATTTCATGTACTTGTGGAGAAAAAGTTAATAACCACCAAACAACTGCTAATTTAGCACCTAGGATTAACCCTTGTACGTTTCCGGTGTGTTTAAGACCAAAAAATAACACTTGATTGAACCTTTCCCCTAACCGGTTAGTGTTGAGGAGCACAAACCATTCGACAGGCCCTTGAATATCGAACCAACTGCGACATGTAAACATCAAAGGTTGGGGATACAATTTATTATCATGGTTGATTTAGCGCATAGTTAGGACAGCGTAACTACCGATGTACTGGTTTGATAGACGAACAGTGTCGCATCGATGGTCGCTTGATTTAAAAATGTATATGTGTTGGAGTTACCTCAACATTATTATTAAAGATAGAGATGTTTTGTCGTTACTTTCCTGGCAACACTCTGCATTTCTTTTGTAGGTACTATGCCATCATCCATCCTGTTCGAGCCAAGTACGTCTGTACAGTCGGGAGGGCAAAGCGGCTTATATGCATTTTGTGGGTAGCGGCGTTCGTGCTTGCGTCACCAATCATCATTGGCCGGGTAGGTAGATATCCCTCACGATCATAAGTCATAGGGATGAAGTAATGCTTTGAAATGAAATTCATCAGTTTCGGTTGAGATATATTTGAGAAAATGGTTATTTTTAACACAAACAGCTATTGAAAATTGTTTTTGTGAGTTTTCAAAATCTTCTGTTCCTTTTATCAAGCGTGCGAATAACATAGACTGTTTACTTTTCGGTGACTGAACGGAAATGTCATGTCAGCTGTCATGCTGTAAGGACGCTTTCCTTGCAGCACTCTTATACAGCAGTCCAATAAGGGGCGGAAGGATGCAACAGCAACCATCCCTCAGGCTGCCTGGTATTGAATTTACATTATCGAATTTGAAAAGAATTCCATATGACGACAGTAAAAATCAATTGTAACAAGTAAACGCAAGGAATTCTGCCTGTAGTCTTTTGGTTGGAATTTGTCAATTTGATTTTTTTTTCTGAAAATATTAATTTGAATACGGATACCATTTTGCTGTAGAAAGTCCGTATAAAGTTATATGTTGAAAGATGATATAGGTTCATTTATTGATTAAAAAATTAACAAATTAGTAATTAAAGAATCCTGCATGGCAAAATGAATGCAATGACGTAGATGTAATATTGAACGATACATTTCAACTTCACAAGTAAAAAGATCATTGTAAAATTAATCCTTGATTAGTTGAACGCCAAGATTTACAAAATAGTCTTCTGGAACAGGAAAATAATAATATGAGAACAAAACCATAATCTAAACTCAAATTCTGTAACACTAGGGCAATATATATAGAAAGGAAATTTAAAGGGAGACAACTGAAAAAGTACGAGGAGAATAAGACCAAGACAGTGATCTAGAAGAGTAAAAAAAGAAAGAAAAATATACTTAACCTAGTTTTAAAAGAATATTGGATGTGTCACGGCATAGCTTCCATAGATTCCGAACTCATTTCATCAAGGTGATGCTAGTATTATTACATTGTAATTAAAGTTAATGATGCTGGGAAGACAAGTAATTAACTGTAACAATAACGTCGTGTAGGGTCTATTTAGGCCAGTCTGGCACAGACAACATACCCCACAAATCCAACGCTTCTGTCGAATAACGATCCTTTACATCAGACGATTCCTATTTTACCTCTTATTCTTTATAAGATATAACCAAGAATACAGGGTAACAGTTTACAGGTGATTCTTTACAATGATTACGATATATCAAGACTATTTAAGAGAACCAACAGGTCATATTCTGTCCAGGACTACAACCCATCAAGGCTCTTTAAGAGAACCAACAGGTCATATTCTGTCCAGGACTACAACCCACCAAGACTGTTTAAGAGAACCAACAGGTCATATTCTGTCCAGGACTACAACCCACCAAGACTATTTAAGAGAACCAACAGGTCATATTCTGTCCAAAACTACAACCCACCAAGACCCTTTAAGAGAACCAACAGGTTATATTCTGTCCAGGACTACAACCCACCAAGACTCTTTAAGATAACTAACAGGTCATATTCTGTCCAAAACTACAACCCATCAAGACTATTTAAGAGAACCAACAGGTCATATTCTGTCCAGGACTACAACCCACCAAGACTCTTTAAGAGAACCAACAGGTCATATTCTGTCCAGGACTACAACCCATCAAGACTATTTAAGAGAACCAACAGGTTATATTCTGTCCAGGACTACAACCCACCAAGACTCTTTAAGATAACCAACAGGTCATATTCTGTCCAGGACTACAACCCATCAAGACTCTTTAAGAGAACCAACAGGTTATATTCTGTCCAGGACTACAACCCACCAAGACTCTTTAAGATAACCAACAGGTCATATTCTGTCCAGGAACGCAACCCATCAAGACTCTTTCCAAAGAACATATTCCATCAAATACCTACCTACTATGACCGACAATTTCACCAGAGCCTCCTAATGAAATCCTTTCCAACCAATTCCCTACGCTGAAACTACTTCCCTTCGTAGACAACACATAACTAAATATTTTCAATGTCGAAAATCTGCCATACTTCTTCGATGACAACCATCTGTCAGATTATTTCGGTGAAAACCAACTTAATAAATCCTTTCATGACAGCCCGTCAGTATTTAAATTGTACGAGGTAAACTCACGAATTCTAGTTTTGAATGACACTAGAAGGTATGTAGCATTGTTCTGTAAAAATGTGACATAGCATCATTTTCTAACTTGAAGTTCAGTGGCCTTAAAACAATTGTTTACGTTCTGGTCGTGAAAATGTATTAGGAGGCTAATGAAGTTTTGGTCTTCATTAAAAAACTACAACTCTCCTTCTTATATTCACTTCACCAACCGGAAGAGCACTTTGAATGATAGTGAAAAATGATTAAAAAAAATAGGATAAATATTTTTCTGGTACTTGAATATGTTTTATCTCTCATTGTCTAAAATCAAATTAGCATATTGCACATATTTACATGCTCTAGAGAATCAATCATGAATAGCCTTGTAATGTGTTACATAACTAAGATTACTTAGCTACTAGTGATAGGAAGTCCTGTATGTATTTAGAGCTTCACTGTTTAAACAATCAGCTAAATGAACTGTAATTTTGAGTCTTCGTCTAAATTCATCATCCCGAGTATTCGTTGTACTATTTCTTGTTCTAGACCGTGAGAAATAAACATAATTTGCTATCTTAATTCAGATATCAAACTTCAGCCCCAAGACATTGTGTGCGTTACGTTGTTATCACGTAGTATATCACTTCTTTGAAACATCTATTTACTCACCATTACAGGAAACAAAACGTTTGCCTCATTTAAATTCATCTTAGATATATCGATGTAGTGTTGAAAGAATGAATCTTTCATAAGCTTTCTTCAAAATTTTAGGATGACTCATGCGTCGGTTCTTGTTTTCGATGTAAATATCTCACAGTGTTGTAAAGTTTCTTTTTAATAAACATATGAATCTGACTGATAGAAGACATGTCGAGGTCAGGTAATTGTAGTTATTATGGCAGCCCATATTATTTATGTGATGGAAGCGTTCGACATGATGACTACTGTCCTAATGAGGTCACTATTAGACGGGACTAAGTCAGATATTGTACGAGGTACTAATTGTGTGTTATATCAGTCTTTATATGTTCCTGTTTCCAAACTCAATTTAAACTTTTCCACAAAAAGTATCTTGAAACATTTGTACATATCCCAAGTTGACGTGGTATGAAATATTGCCGATAGATTAAATTATTGTATCGGTCTTCGGATATCGTCTCTAAATGGAACGCCAAAATTTCATTATTTGCTTCCATGTTTCCAATCAAATAACTCTGTGGATTCCTTTTAGAGGTCTGGTGTGGGTATTGGCTGTGGGAGGCGATACGTGATTGCGACAGCTGACAGCACACACCCAACATTTGTCACATATTCCGGGCCGATAACACTGAGTGGCACGTTGCGTTTTCACTCTAGATTTGTCCATAGCTATTAGATATTGTATTACTGGAATTGACATGCCCCAGAGGTATTTACGGTTGTTAAGTTACATTTCAATCTGCACGGCCCAGCAAATGGTGAAAACCCAAATGTGATTTTGATGATGACCCTGAAGTCATAAATATTGATGCTGCTGAAACTGAAGTGAATTAGCCCTTTTCACAACTTGTTATCTTCATTCAAACCGAAATTTATCTTTAATGAGTATGATGCACACGGAAATAAATGTCATTTACTAACAAACATCCCCAGCGGAACAGTAGATATTCTGCTTTAAAACGACATGTTCAATAACTATCCATAAACGAAATTCAATGACTTACTAGGCATTGCTGACCTTAGCTTTTCCCTTGAATTGGCTCTCCTTCTTTCTGAATGTTCGTTTATATGTGATGAAGACGTGTCGTTTCCAAACACCCGTTAGGAACATAATTTTATGTTTCAGGAACACATCGAGGTTCAAGGGATATACAGAAAAGCGACATGGTGTAAGAAAAACTTCCACTCCGCCGGCGTGTCCATCCTTTATGAAATCTTCATGCTGCTTATAATCCTTATTATTCCCGTCGGGGTAATGTCTTTTGCTTACCTCAACATATGTAAGGAACTGTGGAATATCGCTACCCAACAACACTGTCCCTGTCCGTAAGTTTACAGCGATTTAGGTTTTACTTGTTACTTCATTAAAATATCGTAAATAAACACCTGTATATCATTCGGAAGAACTTCTTGCAAAATCGTTCCTTTTGAAAATGTTTCTAATCAAAAATGACGTTGGTAAATCATATCATTAATATATATTTTCCCGTTAGACAATCATTTTATTGCACCCTGATATATATTGTCCGTTAGACAATCCCTTTGTTGAGCCCCAATATATACATGTATTGTCGTTTAAACAATCACTTAATTGAACCCTAATAGATATTGTCCGTTAGACGATCACTTTATTGAGCCCTAATAGATATTGTCCGTTAGGCAATCACTTTATTGAAACCTAATAGATATTGTCCGTTAGGCAATCACTTTATTGAAACCTAATAGATATTGTCAGTTAGACGATCACTTTATTGAAACCTAATAGATATTGTCAGTTAAACGATCACTTTATTGAAACCTAATAGATATTGTCCGTTAGGCGATCACTTTATTGAAACCTAATAGATATTGTTCGTTAGACAATCACTTAATTGAACCCTAATAGATATTGTCAGTTAAACGATCACTTTATTGAAACCTAATAGATATTGTCCGTTAGACAATCACTTTATTGAGCCCTAATAGATATTGTCCGTTAGACAATCACTTAATTGAGTCCTAATAGATATTGTCCGTTAGGCAATCACTTTATTGAAACCTAATAGATATTGTCCGTTAGACGATTACTTTATTGAGCCCTAATAGATATTGTCCGTTAGACGATCACTTTATTGAGCCCTAATAGATATTGTCCGTTAGGCAATCACTTTATTGAAACCTTATAGATATTGTCCGTTAGACGATCACTTTTTTGAGCCCTAATAGATATTGTCCGTTAGACGATCACTTTATTGAGCCCTAATAGATATTGTCCGTTAGACGATCACTTTATTGAGCCCTAATAGATATTGTCCGTTGGAGAGTCACTTTATTGAGTCCTAATAGATATTGTCCGTTAGACAATCACTTTATTGAAACCTAATAGATATTGTCCGTTAGACAATCACTTTATTGAAACCTAATAGATATTGTCCGTTAGACAATCACTTTGTTGAAACCTAATAGATATTGTCCGTTAGACGATCACTTTATTGAGCCCTAAAAGATATTGTCCGTTAGGCAATCACTTTATTGAAACCTAATAGATATTGTCCGTTAGACAATCACTTTGTTGAAACCTAATAGATATTGTCCGTTAGACGATCACTTTATTGATCCCTAATAGATATTGTCCGTTAGGCAATCACTTTATTGAGTCCTAATAGATATTGTCCGTTAGGCAATCACTTTATTGAAACCTAATAGATATTGTCCGTTAGACGATCACTTTATTGAAACCTAATAGATATTGTCCGTTAGGCGATCACTTTATTGAAACCTAATAGATATTGTCCGTTAGACGATCACTTTATTGAAACCTAATAGATATTGTCCATTAGACAATCACTTTATTGAGTCCTAATAGATATTGTCCGTTAGGCAATCACTTTATTGAGTCCTAATAGATATTGTCCGTTGGACAATCACTTTATTGAGTCCTATTATATGTTGTCCGTTAGACGATCACTTTTTTGAGCCCTAATAGATATTGTCCGTTGGAGAGTCACTTTATTGAACCCAAATAGATATTGTCCGTTGGACAATCACTTTATTGAAACCTAATAGATATTGTCCGTTAGGCGATCACTTTGTTGAAACCTAATAGATATTGTCTGTTAGGCAATCACTTTTTTGAGCCCTAATAGATATTGTCCGTTAGACGATCACTTTATTGAGTCCTAATAGATATTGTCCGTTGGACAATCACTTTATTGAGTCCTATTATATGTTGTCCGTTAGACGATCACTTTTTTGAGCCCTAATAGATATTGTCCGTTGGAGAGTCACTTTATTGAACCCAAATAGATATTGTCCGTTGGACAATCACTTTATTGAAACCTAATAGATATTGTCCGTTAGGCGATCACTTTGTTGAAACCTAATAGATATTGTCTGTTAGGCAATCACTTTATTGAAACCAAATAGATATTGTCCATTGGACAGTCACTTTATTGAACCCAAATAGATATTGTCCGTTAGACGATCACTTTATTGAGTCCTAATAGATATTGTCCGTTGGACAGTCACTTTATTGAACCCAAATAGGTATTGTCCGTTGGACAATCACTTTATTGAGTCCTAATATATGTTGTCCGTTAGACAATCACTTTATTGAACCCTAATTGATATTGTCCATTTGACGATCACTTTATTGAGCCCTAACTTTGTTGAATCCTAGAGAAAAAATATTGGCCTGTAGACGATATCTTTGTTGAATACTGAAAAAAACATTGTCCGTTGGACGATCACTGTGTAGGTTTTGTGTGATGGATTGTGAATACGTTCGTAGGATGATGACTTCATTTTATCCTTGATATATTGTTTTTCGTTTCACGAGAATATTTTCTATTTCAAACAAATCCCCCCATTATATGTGTCCTGATCATTTCTGTATCCCTCATGGGTTAAACCTTTCCACTCGATTAAAATAAGATTATCACTTGAGTGCGTATGAGCAATTTTATGGAATGATGTTCTTTAAATCTTGATGTCTCCACTTAATCAACAATATCTGTATCAAATTTCGCACTTTTCCAAATCATAATATGCTTTTCATTGATCACGTAAAAAACAACCCTTTTAGCGCTTCTCTTAAATCGTTACATTATAACCGCATCCATCGACGCTTGCTCATGAAAATTGCAGTGATTATCTCTAATATGTGGTCATTCCCTTTTCGTGTTTGATGCACGGCTGCACGACTTTCTGATTTACGCCGACAAACGCTGCTACCACTGAGCACGTTCAAACAACACGCTGATTGATTGCTTTGTTGTTCATTCAGATCAAAAGGCGACCTTAACAAGACAAACTCCGGCTCTAACGATATGGTAACAATAACTACACCAAGAAAATCCAAAGACGACAACAAGAGCAAGAAACAGGTACACTCTCAGCTTTGGTCGATTCTTGGGAATAGCAAAGTTTATTATCTAAAACTTAGATTATGCAGTCAATTATTGATGATTATCGATGTTTTTATGTGCAGATTCGTTCCTTATAAGTCAATCCTCTATTATGGAACTAGTGCGGCTGTCATTTCCACATACTTCATTCTCTTTGGTATTTCTATATATAAATTTTTGTCTGGTATTGTCTCTCTATCCACAGAATGTGTCGACCGACTTACTTATTTGTGCTGAAATGTAACACTGATATACTGAATGTATTTCCAATACTTCCTTGTTTAGGGATCCTATATATATATATATAAGTTATATACAGTCATAATTATCCCCTACTTATCCAGTCTAATATTGTCTCTGTTCTATTATGCAAAGTCTTTTTGTGTACGTAATCCGTACCAAATATCCTCTAACTGTGTTATATTACATGCTCCGACTCAAAATTGCTGTTTGAAATTGACTTCATCTTAGTTTGTATTATGTAAACCATTACCGCTAGGTGGCGGACATGTGGTTAATTCTTCCGCTGCTTTCACACTTGTGGTTAAATAATACATCTTAAACGACTTCCGCTCCAAAACCCCATTTTATCAATCGATTTCCTTTTGCTCAATCTAATTTCAAATTCAATTTCCGCCTGGTAATCTGTATTGGCATCAGTGTGCACTAAGAATCAAACTTATATGCTGATAAATAGCAATAGCTTCAGAGAAGCCGTGATGGATTGTAAACTAAATTAGATACAATGTCTGCAGTATATATTTAGATGGGAAAATTTTGTGTATATAAGTTTTACATAATCGAATAAATTCGCGGATAGTCATAGAAGAGGTACTTTGTCTAAGGTGGATACTAATTTTAATACATACACGTTTACGTGCTATTTGTATGGTGGATATTTAATGGGATACATACACAATTACGTACCTTATGTGGGATATTCAAGGGACATATTACGTACTCTGTGTAGAGTGGATATTTAAAGAGATAAATACACGTTTATATATATACATGTTTACATATTTCGTCTGTTGTGGGTATTTATTAAGATAGATACGCGTTTACGTAGTTTGTGTATGGACTGTATGATGAAGAATACAGCTTCAACCATACACGGGTAAATAAGAACCCGAGGGTATTTAATTTAGGTCAAAATTTCGCTTGGGTTAAAATTTCTTTTAGTATACCACCTATCAAATAGACACTAGTGTAAGAACCTATATTTCTCACATGGTTGTTCACATGAACTACTGGTTTCATACACATGAGCAGGTGCTCCGGAAGAGTCAGCGTCTTCTGCATGTACAATGTACATTTTTATAGGTAAAGCGTTTGTGAATGTATATATTATCTAATACCTTAAGATCTATTCGCATCATCACGGTTAACAAACGTTAAAGATTTTGGTTTTACTCAGGAATCAATGTCTATATTACAGTAAATGTAATATTGAAGTATGTGACTACAAGCTTATACACTACCTCAGGAAGCTGACAAACAGACCGGTCTGTGCTGTCACATTTTACCTTAATTTTTCGGGCGGAACACGACAGGATTCCTGTTTGTCGATCAATAAAGTGACCACCAGTTACAAGATGGCTACGACTGAAAATGTCCTAGCTGTTCGCAGAGCGATAAAACCAGCACACCAACAAACACATAATTTAAAAAATGATGGAGGAAGGAAAGAAAAACAAATTTTTTTTGAAGTGCTGGTTAAGTAAACCAATGGCGTTTCTTTAAAATTTTCACTGCAGATCGCACTACGGGTTAATCAGGAAATGTTACTTAAGTTGTCTGTTACGATAATTTGAAATGGGATATAGCGAGTATGATATTATCATGATCTTGTTAGTGTATTTTGGCACTGACAAATGTAGGTTCTTCACTGACTGGTCAAAGCTGTTTATACAGTTACTGACTATATCAACATTGTATCGTTAATGACAATATCGACAGGTTTTGGTATTCTTCCACCATTTAATGGCCGTCTCCAAATTAACGGTGCTATGAAACATTTACATTAATGATGTATCAGATCTTTATAAAACATCTACTGAAGTCACGTCCGCCAGACAATACATCTGTTATACCATTAGAACACACAATTAGTTAAACCATTATTGTGATTGAAACAAGCCAACCATATGATATCATGTGCAACGCTTCATATATTAAAAGTTGTAAACATACACAGTGTACTGGGATAATAGTGCGTTTGTTTACACAAACTTTATAAGTCTTACTTGTCAGTGCGAAGCATGTTAGTTTGATGACGTGACTCGTAAAGACCGATAGTTATTAATTACTATTACTATCCCGTTAACTGTGTAATTTAATTAGTGTCTAGGACAGCGAGGACATTTCTCGGTCATCAGAAGGGCTTCATCATCAGCTGTAGCAGGTATTGGGCTCCTACAATCACAGCTTTCATCAAAATAACACGATATACCAGTGTAGGCTTTATCGTATCATCTTAGAAAGCACGTCGGTCATCACTTGTGATATATATACTACACCCTCTCCCCCCCTTATATTTTAAGCTGTATAACATTTTTATTTTGCAATATTTGATACATGTTTGAGATCATTATTTGTATTAGTTCTTACTTAATTTAAAAATAATATTTGATGATGTTCATTATTGCTTTGATAGGTTTTTTTGACAAAATAGTGAACCCTTTCGTACCCCCATGGTTCACTGCCCTAAATATTTCAAATCAAAAGCCCTAGGGACCTTTTGGACTTTCAAGCACACTACACGAGTTGTTCATCAATGTGTCACAAACAGCCAGTTAATCTTAAAATTTTGTTCCTGGAAAGAGTCCTTTTCATTGCATTCTCAATATCATCATCATAGCCTACTGAATGTGACAATATCACAAGTTTAAAAACCGACACATTACACGTGTTGTAATGGGTTAAACGATATCAATTTCAATTAACCTAGTTACATTTTTTCACGGGCTCTGTGGAATCACCATAATTTGTAATTAGTTGCGATTCCAATGTCTTCAGCAAACAGAAAAACAGCATGTAAAAACAAAGGGAATAAATTCTGTTTAAATGAGATGCATTTAATTTTCTCAAGTATTGCGTTTTGTGATAAATTAGAGTTCCAATCATTACTGTCAGTTCACTTCGTACAACATTACGGCCAACCTCGGGGACTTTTAGTCCACCAGATACAAGATTACGGCCAGTCTCGGGGCTGTTAGTCCACCAGATACATCATTACGGCCGACCTCGGGGACTGTTAGTCTACCAGATACAAGATAGGCCATCCTCGGGGCTGTTAGTCCACCATATACATGATTAAGGCCAGCCTCGGGGACTGTTAGTCTACCAGATACAAGATTACGGCCTTTCTCGGAGACTGTTAGTCCACAAAATACAAGATAACGGTCAGCTTCGGGGACTATTAGTCCACCGGATACAAGATAACGGCCAGCCTCGGGGACTGTTAGTTCACCAAATACAAGATAACGGCCAGCCTCGGGGACTGTTAGTCCTCCAGATACAACATTACGGCCGACCTCGGGGACTGTTATTCCACCAGATACAAAATTACGGCCAGCCTCGGTGACTGTTAGTCTACCAGATACAAGATTACGGCCTTTCCCGGAGACTGTTAGTCCACCAAATACAAGATTAAGGCCAGCCTCGGGGACTGTTAGTCCACCAGATACAAGATTACCGCCAGCCTCGGGGCTGTTAGTCCACCAGATACAAGATTACGGCCAGTCTCGGGGACTGTTAGTCCACCAGATACAAGATTACGGCCTTTCTCGGAGACTGTTAGTCCACCAGATACAAGATTACGGCCTTTCTCGGGGCTGAAAGTCCACCAGATTCAAGATTACGGCCAACCTCGGGGCTGTAAGTCCACCAGATACAAGATTACGGCCTTTCTCGGGGACTGTAAGTCCACCAGATACAAGATTACGGCCAACCTCGGGGCTGTAAGTCCACCAGATACAAGATTACGGCCTTTCTCGGGGACTGTGAGTCCACCAGATACAAAATTCTTTCCATCGATGTAGCGCTCATTACTATTGTGTTTGGTAAACTACATGTATAAAGCATTGCATTAATGCAAACAATCCATCACGGTTTCTCTGAAATTTCGTGCTTTTATATCAAGAGGAATTCGGACTAACGACCGCGACAAGAAAAAAATAATATCGCAAATAAGGTTATCATGCTGAATATCACAATCTGTAGTTACGGAGAAGTAGAATCGGGCTCAAGTTATACATTATAAATAATTTGACAAGTTGATACACTGACCATAACAACAAAACTGAATTATCGTCTAGTTATTTTAAATGGTCTAGTGACCACCATGTTTGACATCGGCTTGTACATTGACCTCTTCTGGAGATCGCAGAACAGAACTTGAGCAAAATCCACATGGAAATGATTTTATAATTTTTTACCCGAAAGCCGAAATGTTGAGAAAAAGGGTCTGTACCAACAAAATATATACGGTATGGAAACCGGAAACACGGACAATTATTTCCCTAAAAGAATTGCTACTCCTGTGTATTTCTTACTTAAATGTAGCAGATTTCAGGACAGAATGAGCCAGCACTCATGTAAAGAAAAGGTTTGATACAGGAATAATAACATTCCTTCATTATTTCATCGAATGTATTGTACGTTGTATCATATCTATAACATTTAAATTGTGGAGCCACTGAATACCGCAAAGGCGACGTTGTTCCTCTGTAGCGGTCGTGTTTCACTGTCTGGACACTGTCTCAGATAGTGAAAGGATTGCATAATCATCGGGAGGTGTGACACGTCATATCCCAGAAACTGAGTGCTGGATTCTGATTATAACTGCTATCTGGTCCTAGCTCTCCTCGATACAAACTACTATCTGTTAAGGTGACCTCATGGGTAGTAAAGGTCAGTAATAACATGTTATTTCCCTGGAGATCGAACAAGTGTTTGTAGTGCCGTACATCTAATATCTTCATCAATTATAGCCAGGTCGATCATCGCAATGGCACGGGCACGCAACATCAAGTACATGTATGCAATTTTCATATCCACTTGTTTGCAAAACTTGAGAAGTGATTATACAAATGACGAGCAATATAAGGACAATGTCAATAAGACAAAAGATGAGAAAGACATCAAAACAAGAAAGACATTGACACATATCAAGTTATTTCAATTGTAATATGACGTAACGATCTATAAGAGCGGTCCATATATCTGACGATTTGACGTTAAGATTTCATTAATATGGCAGTATTGTTGTTTTCAATCCGAGTGGTTAAATAAGTTAGTAACTTTCACTTTTATATTAGTTTTGCATGAAATATGTTTTTAAATATCAATGCAAATGTTGAATTGTCATTTTACCCTACCAGAAAAACCATGACTGAGATTCTAAAGCCCGTTTTTTGATAGACTTCCGTTATTCAATTTTCATTATACCAATAACAAAATTACTCTTTAAGGTCCTTTATTCAAAAAGACATCAGAAAAGGACATAAGACGATTCAAGGACGGCGGATTAACCATGGTATCAATGTCTTTGCGTGGATGTGAAATTATTAAAGTGTTATTGTGTGCTATTTCCTTTTACAAAGTACAAACATAACTATATCCAACGCGCACATCAAAAGTGTTCAGAGGAAGTAAACAAAGAAAAATGTCTACCAGACGTAACTAATTATACATTAGATAGATATAAGCTTTCCTAATTTAGAAATCCTTTCCTCACCATTAAACATCTAAACAGTTAAATGAAGACTATTTGATAGCATGTAAGGCATTGTAACAGAAGCCATTATATTCACCATGGTTACAGCATGATAATGTTGTTGTATCAACTTATCAACTGACGTAAAGATTTATTAGTTTTTAACTTCAAACGCACGTAGTCATTTGCTAGATAAACTGATTGTCTACGATTGAGCTGTAGTACAATATACATGTAGGTATAATTACGTATGTGTATAGTGTGTCACTTTAAATATCTATATGGTTATCGGTATCTTCGTGCCCATATTTCCATTTTAATGTCATAAATATAGGACAGAATTGCGTACAATCACGGCAAATTAAACACAGTTTCAAAACGTGCTAATGAAATGTAAACATTCAATACTTATTAGGCCATTTTACATTAAGAAACCTAACACATGTTAAACGTTACTTATCACACCATTAATTAACCCGATCAGATACAGTACTTGGAACGCTTGAATCACTACTTTGTAAAAAATGAAATGGATAAACGAAAAAGTAAATAAAAGAAAAACGACGGAATACATAAAACTTTCAAAATTGCAGAGACCATAAACCGATAATTACATAGGGATTAAATGTTGCTTTAAACAGTTTACGAAACAGCGCAATAACCGGCCTATAAAACAGCGCAATCACAGATTTATAACACACCGCAATAATCTGTTTATGAAGCAGCGCAATAACCAGTTTATAAAACAGCGCAATTACTGGCTTATGAAAGAGCGCAATACCGGCTTATATAACACACCACAGCAAACATCAGTGATTATGTAACTCTTCTCATCTCTCGGATTTATCATTCAAAGATAGGTAACACTTTAGGACTGACTACAGCAGAAACCGTTGATTATTAAACGTCACATCTCTCTACTGCAGGACTGACTACAGCAGAAACCATTGATTATTAAACGTCACATCTCTCTACTGTAGAGCTGACTACAGCATAAACCATTGATTATTAAACATGACATCTCTCTACTGTAGGACTGACTACAGCAGAAACCATTGATTATTAAACGTCACATCTCTCTACTGTAGGACTGACTACATCAGAAACCGTTGATTATTAAACGTCACATCTCTCTACTGTAGGACTGACTACATCAGAAACCATTGATTATGAAACGTCACATCTCTCTACTGTAGGACTGACTACAGCAGAAACCATTGATTATCAAACTTCACATCTCCCTACTGTAGGACTGACTACAGCAGAAACCATTGGTTATTAAACGTGACATCTCTCTACTGCAGGGCTGACTACAGCATGATACGTATGGTATAGGAAAAACAAAACCCGAAATACAACTCTCACTCACATAATCGGTTTTATCAATTCTATCTCAACATTGAGAGTTTAATGCCGTCAGAGAAATGACTTTTTGCCCTGAAGCAAGCTTTTATTGAATCCCATTCTTCATTTTTCTCTAGCTAACAATGGAGATGATAAAACATTTTTCGCCGTTCCTTAGCTAACAAGGGAGATAATAAAACATTTTTCTCTGTTCCCTAGCCAACAAGGGAAATAATAAAACACTCTCTGTGTTATCTATACAAAAAGGGAGATAATAAAACGTTTTTCTCTGTTCCCTAGCCAACAAGGGAGATAATAAAACCATTTCTCTGTAACCTATACAACATGGGAGAAAAAACAAATTCTCTGTTCCCTAGCTAACAAGGGAGATAATAAAACATTTTTTCTCTGTTACCTAGACAACAACGGAGATAATAAAACATTTTCCTCTGTTTCCTAGCTATAGCCAACAAAAGAGAGAGAGAGAGACAATAAAGCCTTTTTCTCTGTCCCCTAGCTAATAATGTATTTAACGAAAAACCAATGTTATTATTTATTTCTGTTCGGTATGTATCAATTAATGGGAAGGCATTTCATAGTCTTTATTTCCCGCTGGCATACTTCACAGCAAATTTCACATCTGCATGCTTTTGTTCTATGATGATAAACTGTCTTTTTTATGGAAAGACAAACTATTGGTATATTTTTTAAGCTTTGTTAATGTATGGTTTGCTCAAATATAAGACAATTGATATGTTTTATTTCCATTTTAGGTAATTAAAATGCTGGTTGCTATCATCATCATTTTTATCATTTGTTGGGCGCCCTTACTCATCAACAATGTTCTGGTAGGATTCAAGCTGCTGCCTGATCTGAATATCGACCATCACAAACACATTCGTGAAGCTCTCCACATCATGGCCTATTCCAATAGTTGTGTCAATCCCGTAGTATACACATTCATGTCACGAAACTTCAAGGAAACATTCAAACAAACTCTGTGCGGTTGTCTGCGCAAGTCCAGGCGATACAGGAAGAACACTTTGGAGGCGGGAACTTCCTTTCACAATGGTAAAACCTATAACACCACACTTAATGGAGATTCAAGCGTGATCGTGAACAGGAACGCAGTGGAGCTGTCAAGTTGTCAGTACGGAACCAATGCTGAACCTGTGTAATACAAAAAATTATAATTATGAACGTGTTTTATAGTATAGATAGACGCAAATATGTAACTTTACCAAAAGTGAACAAACAGTGAACTTGTATTTATCTGTTTAACATCCCAATTAAATTCTCTGAATCAAGATAGTATCTAATATGAACTGTATAAATGTACTGTATAGGGACTCTCAGCTGAGTTGCACGGAAAGTGGAAGAAGTTGTATCAATATTTCATATTTTAATATGTACATATTTCCTGGTTTTAGATTTGAATTCAGATCACAATAAACATATTATTACGATACTGTAGCATTTGTAACTAAACGAATGGCGCAGTTGTCATTTTCTTGACTTCAGCTAGCAATATAAACTGATGTGTGGTACACATGTGAACAACAACTTTAAAAGCAATATATGTGACGTAAAGAGTCTTTCATGAATGGTCCAGTCATATTGCCAACTGTAAAGCCATTTTGTAGGGATTGCTATTCGTAAAACGTTATTATTTGTAGTCTACGAACTTAAATGTTCACGAAATGATAAACAAATACAATTCAACACGGATTTTAGAACTGTTCATGTCGATTGCTTTTAACAGGATTTGTTTTAGATATCAAGTGTCAATGAAAATGTAGATTTTTGTTAAAAACTGTTCAGCAATTTGATGTGACACAAAGTTTCAACTTCAAAATATTGAACGAGCTAAAGAAATTCAACATGGCACGACCATGAGTTCAAGATTCTATTCATCAAGTAATTAACATCCAGGACTAGTAAGATATAACCCAAATTCGCTCTATTAGAAGAAATGCAAAACCATACGCGTTTTGATATTATTACTTGCAAATATTCAAGTAAAATAGTAAAAGTTTCAGGGAAAAGAATATTCATGTTTACATGTAGAACACCGTCATTCCAGAAATATTATCTATCACTCACATTAAAGAAGGAGTTCAGAGCCGTATAAACCATGACGTCACCATGTAAGTACAAAATTTTCATTTTATTATGACGTCAGCATACAATACCGAATTTTTCACGGCGTCAAAATACAGGTACTAAACATACCATAACGTCAGCAAGCTTATATCTAATACATGTACATCATGAGTTCTACTCACAAGTATCTAAAAGACTACACTTCAAGACACAAGCATCGAATTTACCACGACGACAACACACAAGTATCGAATATACCACGACGACAGCACACAAGCATCGAGTTTACCACGACGACAACACACAAGTATCAAATATACCACAACGACAACACACAAGTATCGAGTTTACCACGACTACAACACACATGTATCGAATATATCACAACGACAACACACAAGTATCGAGTTTACCACGACTACAACACACATGTATCGAATATATCACAACACACAAGAATCGAATATACCACGACTATAACACACAAGAATCGAATATACCACGACTATAACACACATGTATCGAATATATCACAACGACAACACACAAGTATCGAGTTTACCACGACTACAACACACATGTATCGAATATACCACAACGACAACACGCAAGTATCGAATATATCACAACGACTAGCATACAACCTATATCCAACGTCAGACGCCATGTGACCAGGGGGGACGGTTTTGTAAAATCGAGTCACAACTAAGTCATCGACACATGAACACTACCTAAAACAACATATCACCAATATGTACGTATCCAACTGAACACATCGTCAAAGCACAATAATCTAATATATCAAAGTACCGTATATACCTGAGGCGTCAACAGTTTCGGAATATACTACAGTGTACAAAGGAAATTGGTAATTCATCGGTGTCACTTACTGTATATATCATAACACATACATGGGCTAGTACCAATACGAAGATGTCTGATATCGTGTAAAGCTACAACTACATGATATAAAAAATACTACAAGGTTAACACCCAAGGACTGAAAGTATCATAACTTCAACCACCAGAACAAAAAACAAAGGACACTTTAGGCGGACGTCACGTTATCGTGAAGGACAAGCGTTTCTCACTGTAACTAAAGAAATAATCATATAGGTAGCAAATGCAATCATTTTAAAATATCAGAACTTCTTAAAGACTAATATACCGAAGAGGAAACATAACTTGTGTTTTGAAAATCATGTACAAAAGGTATTTTGATTACAAGAGCTATTTTCTCCAATTCATCGTCTAAAGTCAATAAGCGAAAATTGATATAAAAACCCAATTAAGATTAATTGCTAAAGGTCTTTATTAAAGCAATAAAATGTTGCCTAAAAAGTTTGTGATCTAAATAATTGAACCTTGGGTAAAACATGAATGTCCTTGGAAAATGTTGATGTAAGATATAAATAAAAGTTTAAGAAACTTTAAGCTTGTAGTAGTTGATTTTCTTATCAGGTTCTGCTAGTGATGTGTAAATATTCAGAAAATATGCAAACATATTAAAACATTTTATTATACTTAACCGATGTCTCAGAATACAATTGTGTATTGTGTTCAAGGCTACATTTTGGTATGTCTGACTAATTTGAAAAATATATCCATCTGAATTGTCATATGAACTCTTGATTCCTAATATTTCTTAAGTTCTGAAATAAATGTTACAATATGATTCTGATGTATTGGTACTTTTAGCCATCAATCTGACGTCACCATCCTCTAATATTTCCTCTATATTGGCAATAAATGTGACAAAAATATGTGAAGTTCATATGAGATTTGTAGTACACATGTCAGTGGCTTTCCTGATCATATCTCAATATAACCGATGGCGACACCACAAGTAATAACATTGGCTTATTTCCTTCGAGTAGTTGATCCCAGAAAAATAGTATTCATTATACTAGCCTATTATGAAACATCGATATCCTGGTAGTCGGGACTTGAGAGACAGTATCAGTTAACACAGTTCTTAGGTTTTTATCTGCCCCTTCAAATCCTCTTGCGTGATGAACGAACGTGCATGCAACATAGCAGTGAACTCTTGCCATCCCGTCGAGATCCTCATCAAAATTAGATGATATATACATTATACCCAATCGGTATCCGGGAAAGTCAATTTGCCCGACAAATCTATTTATTTTTGCATTTATTCCAATAAATGGTAATATTAGTTGTGAAGTAAACATTTTTGTCTTCTGTTGATATGAGCTTTCGTACTCTGTTGACTCGTTAAACACGGGGCGGGGAGTGGTTTTAGAAATAAGAGGGCAACGGCCTCGTGGGTTTTCGCGTCACGGATAGCTGAGAATCTTTGCTTTTGTGTTTAAGGCACTTTTAGACAGCAAGCTCTCATACACCTGAAAGTATCTGTTGATTTGAGTCAAATGTATGATTATAGAAAGACGGAAATCCTGATGTAGAGGATGGCTTCTTTAGTTTGCAAAGAGAAGAACGGTCCTAGAGAGAATATACGTCCCATCTGTGGCCTGACATCCTCAATCGGCATCTAGCAGGATAAAAGGTCAATTTAATGGTGACAAATGTCACAAGCCAAATTGGTAATTAATGTCACTCAACGGCGTTCCTTTACACTTATTTTTATGTACAAGATTTAGATGTTTACTTTATAATGAGTATTAAAAAACAGTGTCATTAGCAAAATTCCAAATGTGGAGAATATCACCAACCCTCCTTAGTTAAGAAAATATCATCACTCGCCGGCCAAGCCATGATTGATATAATGCGTTTCATTCCTAAAGGTTGCAATTTTTTGGATCCTCCATTATCAAAACTAGGATATTTACAATCGGTGAAAATATGAAAAAAAAAGACAATGCGACACCTGTATGAAAAACAGCAAAAATCACATAAATTGTTACATATCCACTTGAATGCCTCATCACAACGAAAGTAAGAAAATACTACGCCATAAAAATAGTTGTTAAAAATATTGCATTTCTCTGCGGTTCTTCTCTACAATTAGTACACAAAATGACTATTAAAGTAAAAATAAAAATATATAAATAAATATAGATAACTACAAAATAATACGGTAAATTAAATAAATAAGCCTTGATAAATAAACAGCCTGTCAGCTGTATGAATGCTTTCAAAGACATGATGGCAAAGACTGGGACATTAAAGCGCTTTAAAGCTATTTGCTGCTTAAAATTCAAGGCACAAAAATGACTTTTAAAACTACACACATTATGCATAAAAATTAATTGATCAAATATGTTTTGATTAATTTACATATATAGTACAATGCTAGTTTTTATATAAACGACGCTAGATAACTTTTCCTTTAATTACTTGATATAACGCTTAAACATGCCATATTGAAGAAGATATAAAAGACACACAAGTTAATAAAGAGTTGACTAATGTTCGACAGCATTATAGGAATATATTTTAAATTACACTTTATACGCTGTATTATACACTATTTACAATCAATATGACAGACAGCCTTACCGGCAAAATGCAGTCATTGTTACATAACAACATCGGCCTCATCACAACGAAAAAGAAAATACTACGCCGAGCTCTGCGGTTCTTCTCTGCTAGTGACTATTAAAGTAAAAATAAAAATATATAAATAAATTAGATAACTAAATAATACGGTAAATTAAATAAATAGATAAATTCTTCACCTCTCAAAACATCCACATCCACAATAAATACAATAACTATTGTGTTGATCAAAATGAATTACATATATAGCAATGCTGATGCTAGACTTTTCCTTTAATTACTGTATAACGAAGTGAATCCTCGTTACGGTTTTATAGCGGTCTGTTCTTGATAAAACAATACACAATGTAAATACGTACAAAGTAACAGGCATCACGATAGGCCCAGTGTCAAATAATGTAATTATTTCTATTTAATCAACTCGGATGAATCCATACACCTCACATACATCGCGTGGTCTAGTTTTCCCTAAATTTCCTTCTTAATGAATGATATTTCAATTCCCGTGGACTGACAAATAATATTGCGTTGACCTGATTACCGTGTATACTTCGTCTTTTTGTCCTACGCCGTCAAATGTTCAACATTTATGATG